ATAATAGCTCGCCAAAGAAATACAAAATCATGGATATTAGTGTGTAATTGTTATTGCGCTTGTGCCATTAAATTCGTTGGTAATTCATTTCATAACAAACAGAAATTGTCATATCATAGAGCATGCATAATATATATATTATGTGCTTCTGTATTTCCACATAAAGGGATATTTGTACTTCATAATTGGCACTGCTTTTTGTTTTTAATTAATTATTTTTAATAACTGAATTTGACACGTGATAGCGAAGATTTGTTATAATGTTATATTTTGCAAGTTATGTGGGATGTGACGATTTAAATCTTTATTTTTACTGAACAATTACGATTGTGTTTACTGTTTTTTTTTTACTTTGATATTAAAATAGCAATATTAAAACAGTTATTGCCTTATTGTGCTGCACGACAGTCGATGCTTTTATGTATCTAACAACCCAATGCCTTTCGCTTATTTTTTTCAAATCATTGCGTCTTTTGAAAGAAAAAATATATATCATGAATGACAAATAGCAGACTACATTACGATTCATCAAGATAATTAATCTTTTTCTGTTTCACAGAATACAATGTTTGTCCTATTTACCGTTAATGATACGTAGAGAAGCGATTAACACGTAATAACGAGATTTCGGAACTATTTCTCCAGCATAGGTACAAAATATGAACTGTTCTCATTTCAAGGCAGTATTAATTGCAATCATGCCAAATAATGAATTAAACTGTATCCTACAGCTGTTTCGTACTTCTTGGACTCCTCAGTGATGCTAAGGGTCATCGGGGTCATCGGGGTCATCAGAATGGAAATCTACCTGGAGGGTAATAGGACCTTAACACTGTATACTAGGAGACAATGTCATAAAGCTTAAGATAGCCTCCAACCCGAGGTCAACGACACCAATTCGCCCAACCGAGAGTCACTTTAATTTCAAACACTTTGGAACTTTACATATGATTGTTAATGACTATTTGGAAGAATCCGAATATAAGACATTCTTTGTTATTTTCCAAACAAATTTTCAACTTTCATGAAAAGGTACGAGCATGATTCTTGGATATTAAAAACAAAATCATGTGAAAATGTCCAGTTTTCATTTGATTTAACATGATTTAATCTCCGTAGCAACCAAAAACGAAATTGTTCTAAAATGACATAAATCTTTTATTTGACCATCGTCTAGTATTATTGTTGTTATTATTTTTACTTTCACCAAAATAACTAGTTTTTTTAAGATCAAGAAAACAGCTGAGAAGTCTATTTCCGGGTCATTTAAGTCCGGGAAAGTGGTCACCAATTCGGAATTCACGAATTTTAAATAAGTGATTTGTGATGATAATTCATGCAAAATATAGTTGAAATCTACACAAAACTTCCAGAGTTATACTCAAGAGAAGTATCTCGGCAACCCTAAAAACGCTGAATCACCGAATCACGCCGTCAAATATACCGTCAAAACAATGGAGTCCACGAGTGAAATTTCTTCAAAACGTCATAGAAATCGTCCGTTTTCAACGTATCAGTACAACTATAAATGGCCAAGTATATAAAAAGACAAAAAATGAAAGATATCATGTCGGAGTTCATTTTGTATTGAAGTATGGGACTACATCCTTAAGCACTGTTAAAAGGTTGTTAATCCAGATATAGAAGGTGATGAACTAGGAAGGATACTTTATAGATTCTACTAGATACTTAGGCCAGATGCAACTAACCGTCATGTACCAATACCTTCATTGCTATCCAATTCTTTGTTCGATCCCAATGGGTGATCCATATTTTCCCAAACGTTTACATGTGATAAAAGGCAGCTTATTTTGTCAACCACATTGATCTTAACATATTTCATGGACTTTCCAATGTGGCTCTGATTCTGTGAGCCATATCAAGACATTTCGTTCCATAGGCTTGAATGTGTGGTACCCATGTTTTGTGTTTGAAATATACATCAGATGAAGCATGAGATCCTGTGTTGTAGTATTTGACTCAGCGTTGTAATATTTGGTCCAGTGTTGTAGTATTTTGACCCAGTGTTGTAGTATTTTGATCCAGTGTTGTAGTATTTTGACTTAGTGTTGTAGTATTTTGACCCAGTGTTGTAGTATTTTGACCCAGTGCTGTAGTATTTTGACCCAGTGTTGTAGTATTTTGACCCAGTGTTGTAGTATTTTGACCCAGTGTTGTAGTATTTTGACTCAGTGTTGTAGTATTTTGACCCAGTGCTGTAGTATTTTGACCCAGTGTTGTAGTATTTGATCCAGTGTTGTAGTATTTTGACCCAGTGTTGTAGTATTTGATCCAGTGTTGTAGTATTTGACCCAGTGTTGTAGTATTTGATCCAGTGTTGTTAGATTGTGATCCGGGCACTTTATCACCCTTGGTTCCCAGATAGATGTCGGGTTAGACATACTAGCAAGATCAAACATACCTAGGGGGTCAGAACTATCAGACTGGATCTGAAGTATACTAGAGACATTGGGTCCATCGAGGCTGGTAGGCTCGGCTTGCGTTCAATGTAATAATGGATCTCGAACCAAGGGGTCTGAAGGGCGGTGCTTAAAAGGAAAAACTAGCAAAATTCGGTTTGAAGCATCCTTGGGTGAAGTAGACTGAATTGTGCATAAACAGTACACAGTGGTTGTTAACTTCCGACCTCCCCATTCTTGAGAAAGAGGGTGGTTCTTTTAAAGCAAATAGATGTAAAACTTCCCGAGCTAGATGAAGCAATTTCAGCGAACAAAACCAAAAACCAAACCAGTGCTGAGCGATACAGGCCCTTCGGTCCTCTTTTAGATTGAACCAACGTATGGGACACTTCCTCTCTTTCGTAATCAGTGTTTAATTTCTAGAAATAATCGTGTAGCTCATTACAACAACTTTGGATCAAACATATAAACTTTCCACATTTTATTTTTAATTTCTTTTCGTTTGTTTTTGGTTAACAATTTTTCTATAATGCCTTCTTGTCTTACATATGTCATTTTTATTCGAATTACTTTTTAAGTTCGTTTGGGTTTTATTTGCTTTGTGAAAGTGTCCTCATTTTTCTCTTTTTCGTGTGAAAGTGTCCTCATTTTTCTCTTTTTCATGTGAAAGTGTCCTCGTTTTTCTCTTTTTCATTTGAAAGTGTCCTTATTTTTCTCTTTTTCATTTGAAAGTGTCCTTATTTTTCTCTTTTTCATGTGAAAGTGTCCTCATTTTTCTCACCGCTATGCTTGGACATTCACTTTAAGCAGTTATAGCTAAGTGCTATCCCTAAATGCGCCCCACCATTATCCAATAACACAGATTGTTAAACAAATGTACACACGTCTTGGCAACCATTAAAAGCTCGTTTGTTGGTGATAGTGGATTTAATATATGTGTTTGAGAACATGGACGTGGCTAGCGTATGTCGATAAGGAAATTTTAGAAACCTTTGTACTTTGCACGACTCAAGATTTCACTGACCCTACCACACGAAGCCAATCACAACCATAAATTCTAAACAGCTTGATACACATTAGGTTTTTGTTTACATTGTTTAAGTTTATCACAAATAGAATCAACATATTTGTGACGATATCAACTCAATTTATACCACAGAATCTCTGTATGTTAGTCCCTATTAACTGAAAGTGAGACCTTAAAGACGTATGTTTATTTCATAATAAAATCTCCAATTGTTGCAGCACATCGAAAATTGACAATTTAAGTGTTTGATCACTGTGACGTGATATTCTTGAACACTGTCGATAAGGAAATTTGAAGAAAGCATAAATCGAAAGCATCAAATTCCCGAACACCAGCCGATTATAACCAATTAATTATATACAACCAACCAACCCTATCTGCGTTGATTCCGGGACGTTCCATGATTATTTTACATTTCAATGTGTAAATATTTAGAATAACAAAGAAAATAAGGACCACACGGTCAAAGTCCGTAAAAAAACAAAACAAAACAAAAAGTAACAAGATAACGGAAAGCATGACATTATCCCTCCTAATTAATTAAAGTAATTACCTTGAGCAGTTTAAGAGAACTGGTCTGAAAAAAATGAACTTTGTCTTTTGGCCTATCTGTTTCCATGGTAACAGAAGTATTTATATTGATGACTTCTCCACAGCAAAAGACACTACTAGCTTAATAAGTCAAAAAGTTTTCAGCGATTAAATTGAACGGTTTCAGACTACTGGTCCAGAAAAAAACTGAAATTTGTAATGAGGGTTACCTGTTTCCATGGTAACAGAAAAAATATATTAAAAAAATGAAATGTCGTCAATAGCCAAAGGTCACAAAAAGAGCACTAAGTTAATATATACAGCAAGTTTTGTGATGTTGAGAAGAAGTGTTGAAGTTATTGCCTGGAAAAGCCCTCGCGTGGACAGACAGATGTGCGCACGGCGAGACCGACGGAGCCCATATCTACGGCCCCCAAACGCGTTTCTTGGGGATAAAAAAAAAAGAGTGAAATTTACACCATTTTTAACCACGAACTGAACAAAGCTCAGAGTTTCTTAATGAAAATAGAATTTACTGGATATGTCTAAAGGTATAGACAATAAGTTAGGTTAATTCCTCTTTATCAATATATAAAGTTTACTTTTTACATTGGATCCTGACAATCAATATTCCAGCTATAAATATAACTGAAAAACACATGCAATGGAAGAAAGAGGAAAATGTTGTATTCTATACATGTCAATTTTCACAATTATCTATTTATTAGTTTTTATTTAACGAGTGTTACATTCACTATTACGGCCTTTCGCCCTTCGAACGAACGAACAAGGCAATTTCCACAGCCAACTATGCGCTTCGTACAGTTATGTGAACTATTAAAGTATTAACTCCCTTGCAAGATCACTCTTCAAAGATCTAAATCAGCTGCGCGTTTGTCTGAAATGAATACCAACAGGAATCATTTATGCCTTAGATTGACACCGAGAAGATTAGACGATCGATTGATGCGTACTTTGGTACAGAACACGTTTGTCAGTTTTTCATTGGTCTGATGGAACAATGCTGATTAAATATTGATCGACAAGAATATGCCTACAACTTTCAATAGAATAATGAAGAGGTCGACCTGGTAAGTAAAAAGATATGTCCGAAAATTGAAATAAGTACGGGTTAAAAACTTAGGTCCGAACTGGCATTTTGAATAATATGGAATCTATAAATCGTTATTGTTATAGTGACCGATCGTTCTAAAATCTACATGAAGTAGTTTGATATAGACCATATATTATCTGATGATGTTTCACTCGGAGGGAAAAAAATCTATGGCAGGATTCTTCAAAGGAACTGTAACCCTTTGTGCACCTGGAACATTTCCTGGTAAAATTGAAGGCACATTTATTTGATTGGTATATAACGGATTTTAGAACAGAAAAAGACTAATCAAAGACTGATGCACTCCTTTGAAAGTTATAAAGGAGCGATACCCAATTTAGAATCCAATACAGCATCCGGATATGTGACTTTAAGATTCGTTTGGTGTACCTAAAAAGATCAAACTGGTCTTTTTGTCATGTCTATATAGTGTCACACACGGAACATTCACTTTTGTAATGAAATGTTAAATGGGTGCAGAGAGCGATAGTAAGCATAAACCCTGGATTATCCATGATGCAAGTGTTATTAAATTTTTCAAAAAAAAAAAATGATAAAAAAAAACAGGAAAAACACATTTCTTTCAAGTGTCCTGACACAGCCACATTAACCTGCAACTTTTGCATGATATGATTAACTGATTATATAATTTTGGCATTACACCAATAGAATGTAAGAATGAATATAAACATATCTTTATCAGTAAACTATAGAAAAGGCTTTTTTGCTATCACTGTACATGTATTCTCTGTCTCATGATGTAAACTGATCAATGCTTTGGTTTTATTGTGTTTTAGGGTTTAATCATTGATTATTCTTTTGTAGATCAAAGGTCATCTTGAAATACAAATGGTACTAAGTTAGGCAACTCCTACTAATGCTAATATGACAAAGGAAGGAAAGGGAGCTGCTACCATTCGTAGACGAAAGCTTAGACATAACCAGGATGCCCGTGATCGAGTTAAAAATTCATGCCCAATGTCACCAATTCATTCAGATGATGAGCAAGAAATAGATGAAGAGGAAGAAGGATATATCTTTCAGGAAGAAGTTCTAGGGCCATTGATTGTCAAGAAACTGATGGCAACACAAAAGACCATCTTCCTTGGATTAATAGCTTTAAGGGTCTGCAATGCATTAATGATACAGACATATTTTGTCCCTGATGAGTATTGGCAGTCATTGGAGGTGGCCCACAAGATTGTGTTTGAGTATCCTTTTGGTACAAATTTAGTTCTATTCAACAAATAAGTTGATTTGAATGTACACAAATTGAAATACCAGCCAAGCACATGCTGAAGTAGGTATGCAAATTGGTTTTGCAAGCATTTTGCCTGGATTTTAATGTGAAAGTTTATTTGATATGCAAACAAAAATACAGAGAATTTTGTATCGTGGTTAATGTCATGCTGAAAACAATTTTGACTTTTCATGTAACTAGAAATTGGATTGAATAACAAGCTAAAAATAGCCTGATATTGAATATACTTACTTAATGGATTCAGTAAATAGTGTATAGATGGTAATGTCTTTGAGAATAGTTAATTTTCACACTTATTAGATAGGGTGTGATATTAGATATGTAGCAACCATTTTACAGTAACTCAAAATCACAGGGCATGTAGGTAATATGCCTACATACATTTATATGTATAGATATGTACAAAATTGGATCCTTTGGAAATAGCCCAATAAAACCAGGACAATGGCGAGATGCTTGCCCTGCAAAATTAAACAACCATATTGTACTCAAAGGAACCATGAGTAAATACAGTATGCGTGTATGTGCTTGACATTTTCAAACTCAAACTCTAACTGCAGTAGTAAACATTTAAATCTTTACCTACAGAGTTTGTGTTTCACAAAAAAGTATAACTAGTAAACACGGAAACAGTAATTGGCAAAACTTACTGCTTGGACTGAGAACATATGCAGATATAACTGTTTCATAATGTGAAAGTTCTAACAATACCTTCAATACAATTTATAATTTTTTGTCATGATGTAAAAATGCATTCACTTCAATGGCTGATATTTCTTTTACATATTTTCCAACATATTTACCTTACATCTACCTTAGCTATGGTTATCTTACATGGGAATGGAGACAAGGAATTCGCAGTTACTTCTATCCAACAATCTTTGCCTTTCTGTACAAAATCCTAGCTGTTCTAGGATTAGATTATCGACTTTTGTTGGTGAGATTGCCTTCATAACAGCATTTTTATGTGGTTGATTATTCAATGTGAATTGTATTAACATTATTGTTTCTACAATAATTACTGTACATGAAAAACGGGAAGTGTACAAATCACCAAAGTCTGTCTTCTTCCCTTTTCTGTCTGATGTCCGTAGACAATTCTTGTTATCGTCACTTCACAAAGAACAAAATGGATGACAGGTAGCCATCTTTGATTTCGACAACTTTATGTCAATTAAAAAAAAAATTACACTGGAGGGATCATTCATATGTAGGTTCGCCCTAATCCCTTATTATGCATGGTCGGTTATGAGACTGATTAGAATAAAAAAAAACGCCCAACAGGTGGCCATCTTGGAATATGACCATGGTATGTGGTTATTACTACATCATTCTCACTTATCATTGTCAGATTTGATATGTAAGATTTGAATTTTGGAAGAACAGAAGAGAAAAGAAGAGAAAAGATCCAACTGATAAAGAACTAATAAGTATTATATCGTTATTGGCATCACGATCCTCTGGGAGCTGTTGTTTTATTTTAATGAGTCATTTCTCAGTTTTGGCTTTCCTTGTATCTTTAACTGCACAAGCTAAGGTAACAGACACAGTTGTCATGCAGCTCTTAAACATAAACTACTAGTGTTGTGAATATGTATGGTTATACATTTCAGTTGAGTAAAGGGATGGAGCTGGGAGTAGATATGTTGTGGTGTTTGTTTTGTATTTGTTTCATATCTGTAAAGAAAACAAATGTGAAGTGAAAATTTGTCTTGAAACTTTAAATAAAATGTTAAAAGTTATATTTTGTATAATTGAGACCTCAAGCCATAGAAGCTGTATAAATGCTGAGGATATGACATGTTTGCTTCTGTAGATAAAACTGCCAAGGATCCTTCAAGGAGTAATAGCAGCATGTGGTGACTTGTACCTGTTTAAGTTGTCATGGAAACTGAGTGACCGTGCCACTGCCCAATGGACATTACTGTGTCAGATTCTGTCCTGGTTCACTCTCTATTGCTGTACTCGCACACTGTCAAACTGTATGGAGACTGTCCTCATTACCATGGCATTGTACTACTTCCCTTGGCCAAACATCAAAGGGTTTGTATTCTACTTAAGCTTTAACCACAGGACCTATATATATAAATATCTTGTACTTTATTGATCTAATAGAGATACCTTAATGTAAAATTTGGAACTCAATACATGTATATATATTTACTGATACTACATATGATTATTAAAAGTTTATATTTTGTGACTTGATATTCTAATTTCACGATAACCCTGGTTACAAATATCACTACAAGCCAGACCACTTCAAACAAAAGATTCATAGCATACTGAAGAGATTCAGGAGATAGGTAATTTAATGAAAACCATATCATGATATTTACTTTATTGCAAGATCAGTTCAAGTGAGACCAAGAGATGTATTTATATCAGTTTTGATATAGAATTTTTAAAGACTTGTATGTAAAACCTGATGTTAAATAAACATCAACAGGTGCTCTGTGCCAAAGTTTGTCGCCCTGGCTGCCATGTCCGTCCTAATCCGTCCTACAGCAATTGTCATCTGGATCCTCATGTGTTCTTGGCACCTCCAAAACAACCAACAGAGACTGGTTAAAGATCTCAAACATTACTTCATTATTGGGTAACTACTTGTCCGTAAATAAATTGACTTAAAAATGGTGGTGGTTTAAAGAAACATGGCATGATTTTTTTACTTTCAATGATCTGTATTGTGATTTACCGTACCAATGGTGTGGTAGATTGTCAAAAAATCCTTCAAATTATTTCAAATAATTTTATTGTTACTTTTTTATCAATATCTGCATTTTTGTTATGACATTTTCAAATTGCAGTTATGTTCCATATAATGACTTTATCACACTGGGTATATTGTACCCTATAGTAAGACGTTTCATGTCTCATCATAATAAAGATAGTGAGACAGTCAATGGTTTTAATGTTGTAGACTAGAGAGGAGCAGTGCCAGGCTTTATCAAGTCATCAATAGAAAGGCATGCATAAGTCCATAACTCTATCTAATTAAATAACAATACTGGAATTCACTGCTTAAAGTAACATAAATGATCATTTTTAACCTGATCACTAACAGACAGTTTACTTGAAGGTTACAGATCACTAAGAGACAGTTTACTTGAAGGTTACAGATCACTAACAGACATTTTACTTGAAGGTTACAGATCACTAACAGACAGTTTACTTGAAGGTTACAGATCACTAACAGACATTTTACTTGAAGGTTACAGATCACTAACAGACATTTTACTTGAAGGTTCCAGATCACTAAGAGACAGTTTACTTGAAGGTTACAGATCACTAAGAGACATTTCACTTGAAGGTTCCAGATCACTAACAGACATTTTACTTGAAGGTTCCAGATCACCTGTTTGAATAATCTTTCTGAATGTTACTAGGTCTGTGTGTTTCCTGGTCTCCACATTCCTGGACAGTGCTTACCATGGAGACTGGATCCTAGTCCACTACAATTTCCTACAGTTTAATGTACTGCATGGTGGAGGATCTATCTACGGAAACCATCCCTGGCATTGGTACATCACTCAAGGCTACCCAGTCATCATGGCAACACATCTCCTTCCCTTCATCCTGGGAGCATACAAGGCTAAAAATAAAGTTCTCCTATTTCTTGTTATCTGGACTATATTTGCATACAGGTAACGAAATATCAGGATTCCTACCTTGGGTTTCTGTAATTTTCCAACAATCGTTAGGATCAGAAGCATAAACACTATGTGTATGAATGTGTAAAACCTGCTTTACTTGTGATGTTTTACTTGGATGTAATTTCCAGAGTGTATTGTAATTTTGACAAGGGATTGAATCCCTTTGTAATTTTCATTATATATTTACTTTTTAAAAAAATTTTTATCGTCATTGTTCACACTTCATACATATGTACCAGTATTCTTATTGGTTTTACATGTACAAGAATCTAATCAATTTATACAAAAAAAACCCAAAAAAAGTAAGGAAACAGCACCCTGAACAGATATGACATATTTAATGGTTCGTTTGTTCAATTACTGAATTGTGTTAAGAAATGATAATCCTTTCAGATGTAAATTTATCGCCTGGAGATCATGTGGGAGATATTTATAGAAAGCTCTGATGACACAGAGTTGCTTTTTTGTAGGTTTAGGTAGATCTCACGATTATTTTAATTATTTCAATGGTGTATGCTGAATCCTTTTGTCCAAAAAGAAAGAGAAGTCCCACAAGTGTTATTTAGAAACTTATAAAGGAAATCATATCATAACAAATTTGTGAGTTTGTAACATATCTTCTGGTGTCAAAGAACTTGTAAAATAATTTCAAATGACGTCGGAGATGGAGCATCAACATCTGGATTCTATGGTTTTATTATAAGTTGACATGTTTCGGCTAGCTAGGCCAGCTGTCGTCAGAAAAACGGTAAAAATTTACCTTCCTTGATGTGGCTCTATTGAATACCGTTGGGTATCCATTTTTGATTCCTTCATGATCCGATTGACGACTGAAGACAACCAGGACATCAGTTCTCTCCCACTCCCTTAGGAGATTTTTTTATTTACTGTTGTTAAATAATTGTTATGCCAATAGATAGAAATGTTATAAGACACAGATATAATCATGTATATAGATCTATCATTGTTGAAGTTTGTCAAAATCATCAGATTTCGGTACTGTCTCAATTGATCTCTCTGTTCTCATTAGACTTATTCATGGAAACTTGGACATCGATATATTATCTATGTTGTAGATATTGTATCAATCCTTCAGAAAGGGATTTAACCCACACAGCTTATGTCTGTTACTCCAGGTGATTAGATCAGCACAATTAGAATTAATTATGGGTTTCCAACAATGAAGCCAGTCCTGTTTAATGGTAGTTGATGAAAGTAGCATATTTCTCCCTCCAGGTTTGGTCATGTTATTTTTACATGCTGTTTAGAATTAAATAATATTTTGGTTTTTTTTCCAAATTTCAGTTTCATTTCCCACAAAGAGTTTCGATTCCTGATGCCTATTTTGCCACTTTCGATGCATTATTGCGGTGTATATTTCCAAGCATTGTGTCGAAGACCACGTTTGAAGAAAAGGAAGGTGAAGAAGCAGAACGGTGTTTTGACAGATGAGGATGCTGCGAGTCGTTACAGTAGCTGTGATAGTCTTGTCAGCAGTGTCAGTACAGAGAGTTCTGTCAGTACAACGAGTATGGGATTGGGCAGTACGGATAGCTCAGTCAGTACAGCAAGTGCAGGGGTGGACAGCCAGGTCACAGACTCTACAGGAAGTAATAAAGAAACAGTGCTACAAAGTACTGACAAAGTTATTACAGACACAAATCAATCACCAGATGGAGCCACCAGTTCCTCACCAGGGGGCAGTGCAAAGCAGCAATCTGACTCACCAGTAAAAGAAAGTGAGAAAGATCCAATAGTCGTGCAAAAGACACAACATAAATATAATCTTATGAAGGCAAAGATATTTGTGGTGATGCTTGTGGTCATTAACATTCCTGCAGCTTTATATTTTGGGCTTATACACCAAAGAGGGACAGTTGTGGTCATGAAATATTTATATGACCAGAGTTTGGACAAAAGTATGGACATTCTTTTTCTCACTCCTTGTCACTCAACACCGTACTACAGGTAATAAGTGCTTTTCAAGGAAAATTGTGATATTTGATATAAAACAAATACAGATTTGAATCTTTTTTTTCATTGTTTGTACCTGTGTAGTCTGTCATGTGTTAATAATGTCTGCAGGCGATAAAGACCTGAAGATGATTACTTATCTTATCTAGATAGTACATCATATTATCTAGGTAGTACATCATGTTATCTAGATAGTACTCATGTTATCTAGATAGTACATCATGTTATCTAGATAGTACTTATCTTATCTAGATAGTACATCATCTTATCTAGATAGTACATTATGTTATATGTTATATCATCACAATAAAAAAAAGGAGATAAAATTAAATTGTTGAGTGTAGGAAAGATAAGTGGTTGATAAAAACTTAATCTGTTGGTGGTGAACTCTACCAAGTTTAAGGTTAAGAGTGCGGGATTGCACTTTGGTATAACACTAGTGTAACATATGTTTTTCATTTGCTGTGCCAGTTAGATTGTAAATTCATAAAATAGACTGTCAGGTTACATCATGAATTAAAACATAGCGTAACAAAATGGCTGCCTCTGATTGATTTTGTACTCCATGTTTTGAATTCAAAATCTGTCAAAATTTAAATTTTCTGTGCTATGTGATAAGTAAATATTTTCATTTCATTTGGGAATTTATAACATTTGCTAAAATTGCTTTCATAAATACAAAGTTCAAAGACTCTTTCATAAGCGCTCATATGAAATGAAAACAGATTTAAGATCTTATATGTAAATAATGTATAAATAATATATTGACTTCAATAATGACATTAAACAGAATGCTGCATACTTATAATTATTTATGTCTGTTTTAGTTATCTGCACCAAAATATAAGTATGAGGATGCTGACATGTGAGCCCAACTTGTCTAGGAAGGAGAATTACACGGATGAGGCAGACCAGTTTTATAATCACCCAGTCCGGTGGCTGAAACAGGAGTATAAAGTAAATCTGACACCTTTGCCAAGTCATATTGTTTATTTCAACAAATTGCAAACGAACATAACAGAATTTCTAACTCAGAGTGGATACAAAGAATGTGGTAATTTTTTCCATACTCATTTTTCTGAAGGTCGAGTTGGTAGTCATATTAAGGTCAGCTGTAGATAACGAAATGCAAAATCACCAGACAGGTCATGTCAAGGTCAGGTAAAGCCAGTAGGGTGCAGAGTTTGGGTCCCTGATCATTGGTACACTGCCACTAGTAGGGTTGTCACAGGACTGTTACTGTTACTGAAGGGCATGTGTGGACATTATATACAGCTGATCAGGGGTATAGTCACTCTGTAGGGCCGTCACAGGACTGTTACAGAACATGGGCCCTGAAGGGCATGTGTGGACATTATATACAGCTGATCAGGGGTATAGTCACTGTGTAGGGCCGTCACAGGACTGTGACAGACATGGGTTCTGAAGGGCATGTGAGGACACATCTTTCGTGTGTTATCTCTAATTCAAGGTAATAGGTGTTCGTGAAGGGCATGTGAGGACACTTCTTTCGTGTGTTATCTCTAATTCAAGAGTAACAGGTATTCGTGTGTTTCATCTGAACAGTGTGCATATGTAGAATATTAGCAGACAAGGAATTTTTTGTATGAGATCTAAGGGATTCCTTTATTGGAAGTGATTTTAAGTTGATACATGTATTTTTAACTATTGAAACTGCTGCCATCAAAAATAATTATACATCATCAGTGTAAAGTTCAAAGAACAAATATGTGATCATTAGATAAGCATCATACATTTAGTTCAAACAATTTACATATTTAGTTTTATGTTCAAAATAGCATTGACCCTATCTCTGTGTATCTACTATAGGCAAAAAAAAGCAGATCTGGTCTTTGCTCCATTACTGTATTGCATAGATTTTGTAGTCTATTTTGAAGTTAGACCAACAGTATTATGGAACTTTGATTCCAGTAGTTACAGACCCTACTGTATTTTCTATGTTATAACTGGATGTTTACAAGTGAAACACAATATGAGCAAGTATACATTTAACAATCACAATCAAAAGAAATTTGTTAAAGTTGACTCAAAGCTGAATAGTTGAATGACTTCAAATTTATACATATATGGCATTCCAAGCTTTTGATTTTTAATGCTATCAGTATTTTTGGATGTCATTTCTACCTGCTGGCAATTAATATTTGCATTTTTAATTCTTAAGTATTTTTTTTAAAAAATGCCTTTAGCATGAATAATATGTATCGGGCTTGTTGCAATATTTGGTTCACAATACAAAATCTACCATATTGTACTCCCTATAATGCCTGGTCAGTCATCTTTGGACAGAAATGTGTCAGAACATCAGCCAAAACGAATGATTTTTTTTGTACGCAAATCTGCACATGCAGAAAGGTTTCTCTTCGAAGAGTTACGCCCCTTTGATTTTATTTACATGCATATGTATTTACATCATTATCGCTTTTAACAATTACTCTGAGACCGCCAGACTGGTTGCATCAGAAGTATGTCTGCATGATTAATAACCCAATATTCTTGGTTTCTTTGCCTTAATGACAGACTCCAAAGATAAAACATCTGGACTAATAGATTTGGGTATTTAGGATAATATCACAATTAATTTTGAACTGTTAGACAGATTTCAAAGAAGTTTTCATTCATTTTTCAGGTATCAGATTATATGATAATTGTATAAATTTAGGTAAGATTTATTGCAGTTGCTATCGAAGAGCCATGAAAAGATTTCACCTTTTCTAAATTAAGGTCTCATGACAACTCCTGCCAAACTGGTTTATCTGTTTTAGAAAATGTCATTGTGTGGAAGGAACAATATTTGTGAATGAATGACTGGTTGCGTGTGAATGTGAGAGTGCAAGCGTATTGTATATAAATAAACTACTATGTACTTACATTGATTGTAACGTTCTGTTAATGCATTATCGTGTATTGGATTTGTTCATATTAACACCGTTGGCTTGTGCTGTCATCCGGGCATCTAAATTTATTAACTTCCTTTACTTTCATGTTAGTAATTTCCTTCCTTACGTAACAGGGCTTCTCATTGGTTGATCTCACTCTATTATGTAAAGCTATTTAAGTCTGGACATCGATAGTAATCTTCAGTCTGCGCTAGCACTGACCTGCTTTTAGGCTCACTTCTCTCTCCTACTCTTGTCTAACTCCTATTACAACTGTACCTTGCCAGAACCTGACGTCATTGTGTACTGTGTTCTACTTTTTCCACTTTTTTGTATTGTAAAGCGTGTAACTTAAAAAATCACGCTTAGCAATCAAATAGTTGTTTTTGTCATCTTTTTAGGACTACAATGTTGAACTTTTTAAACTGCTGCAAATTGAATTGGAAATTGTGTGACCATAAGACGTCATCATGAACATAAGTCTATATAACTATTTCAATACAGGTAATGAACAAGTTTGTCTGAATGTTTTGATGCTTGTTTCTACCACTGTAACATCACTTATTAGTTAATTCCTGTTTTGTATCTAAACAGTGATAGTCCACCATGTACTAAGACAAATGGGTACTTGTGGTATCTACGCATATACGATGTATATACACACTGATGCTATGCAAAAAAGAATTATATTTTTACAATTATTCAATATTCAGAATTTTAAATGATACCATATACTGTTCTATAGTGTTTAATGGAATACTGACAAGATACTTACAATGTATCTATTCCACGGGTCCTGCAGTGGCTAGTCATTTTTATATGCACAATAACACAAGCTTGTATAAGAATAAAATAATAGTTATAATGACATTATATGGCAATACCTGAAAAATTCTCATATGGTTTGTCATCATGCAAGCATAAATGTCCTAATTAATATTCGTTAGAATTCCATTTAAAATCCTATATTTTCTAAAAAGCAATGAATGAAATTTTGAGAGTGGATCAAATGAAAACATTGTCCTCTTTGTCTTTATTCAAATATTCAAGAGAAAAATTGTTAAAACAGATGTTGAAAGTTCAGATTTTTGTACTGTAGCCAGTCAAGACATACTAAAATGGTAGGTAAAATAACTTACAAAAAAATACCTCCCAAGATAAAATAACTAGGACATAGTTACGATAATTCTACTTAATACGAGATGTTCACCATGCAATGGTATTCAATTTCCGTCCATAACTATTTTTACACCGTCTTTCAATTACTGGTATTTCAAGAATTTGTTTTTAAATTACATGTTTCAGGGAAATATTTCTGCATTTGTTATTCAGTGATAAATGTTTTAGTGTACAAAAGAGGAATAGAGAAATGATGGTGATGATGAGAGATGATGAGTACAAAAGAGGAATAGAGAAATGATGATGATGATGATGATGATGATGATGATGATGATGATGATGATGATGATGATGATGATGATGATGATGACAATATGATGATATGATGATGATGATGGTGATGATGATGATCGTGATGATGGTGGTGATGATGATGATGATGATGATGATGATGATGATGATGATGATGATGATGATGATGATGATGATGATGATGATGAAATTACCTGTAACTGGGATAAACAGGATTTATATTAAACAGCTTTCAGATTAATGAATTAGTTTAGTCAGGTTTTGAAGTTTTAGTTACACAAATTTAGAAAGGAGTGCCACAATGGGGTACCTGATGTGTGTCTGACCCCTACAGAATTTTGTTTTATGTTTGTGGTAGTAACTATCATCTTTCATTGTTACTTGATGTCAATACTTTTTAAACTAGAAAAAGATGGGGAGCTGGAAGAATGATCTAAGGACTTTGATCACAAACTCAAGTCACAAACATGTTGATTTCTCGCCAAAATGAGATCACAGCATCATAATATGTTTCAACAAGATTGAATTAGTTTTGAGTTAAAACCATACAATGTTTTTTGTAAAACAATGAAAAAACTCATCCACAAACTCAAAAACCTGAAAATGATCCTGCATTCATGTCCTTGTGTAGCACTATAATCACATTTATATTTTGGCAGAAATTTTCATTTTTTTTTATGTAAATCAAACTGTTTACCATAGGTACCGGGTATGTTATTTCGGATAGACCAATACTGACAATATGTACTGGTGGGCATTGAAAAGGACTGGAACGACTTGTTACGACAAGGTTAAAGAAGAATTAAACAGTTCCTATTCAAAGTATCAAAAACCCTCTGCTTCTCTGGGTTTAGATGTATGTATCATGCTTCCATGCATCATTTTGTGGAGCTTTTGTTCAGTATTAACGTAGTAAATATTATTACCATTACTTGACATCAATAATTTTTAGACGCTGCTGATAAATAGTCTAAATAGTATCATGATGAATGTGTGTTACCTGTGAGAGTTCTGCCATGTGTAACTGTTCAGGAGTGATGTAGGCTTGCACAATTTTATTGTTTTCTTTTTTTCTAATTGATATATCATATTTTATCATAATTTCATCAGAAGTGAAAATTGTGCTGATTTATTACATGGGGCCACACAATACTTAATTAAATTAGTGAAGTAATTGAATAATAGATCTATATTTAGATATACCAGGTAATGTCAAATATTCAGGTATAAAATGACTTACTTTATGGGTTATAAGATACCTTTTAGCCCAGCATCATATATTTTTGATGCATTGTTTAAAAATCCTAATCTGGTAGGATATGATTTGTGAGTGATTAATGAAGGAAGTTTTTAGTCCATACAACTATTGGTGTGACAAACTGAACCAAGTGTATGTTTGTGATTTGTTGTAATTTATTCTATACATATGTATCAATTGATATGCTTGTACGATACATTTGACAAAGTATTTGAATGCGAGAGGTAAGCACATATACATTATGTCATGTGGTGTATGTCTCACAGTTAAATGGATATCTATACGTAGCTGATAGTGTAATAGACAGTAGTATGTACACATTTAACAAATTAAACAAAAATTTATTTGATTAAAATTTTGTGTTATTATTGATTTGTTTGTTTGGCGTATTGCCCTGTGAAAAGTCAGTCATTTTGAGTAGAAATTAATTGAAGGAAAGTTTAAACAAATTTTATTCAATCACCTTGAATATTGGTCTATGTCATTTCTTTTTACAAAATTTATCAGGTATCTTTGAAGGAAAATTCCAGTCAATACCATGATTCTATGATGTAAAGTTACTGAGAGGAAGATATTTGAAGATTATAGCAAATCTGGCCCCTGTTACCTTGGATATGGGTCAAGGTTATTACTTTTTACAAACCTTGTTAGCATTCATTCCAAGAATATTCAATGCAAGCATGACTCTAGGTGTTTTTGTTATTGAGAAGTTAACTGAAGAAGAGAATTGACAATGGACACCACACTACAACATATGATTACTCTGCCTTTTGGACATCAATAAAACATCAAAACACAGTAAAATTATGGTCTTTATTTTAAATAAGCCATACAACTGTATATTGTAGTAGACATATAGACAAGACAAAGACATGTCTTATGAGGCCTACAAGGTCAAGACATAATTCTAAGTTTCACAAGCAATTTTTTGTTTTTGTCAGGGAAAGAGTGAATGTCTTTACAAACTTCATTCTGAACAAGAGGCCCAATGAGCCTGCAATACTACCCTAATATTTAAGGCTTTTCACAATTAGATCATTATTTCACATCATTGATATTCATCCCAAGAAACTTACCAACTAAATATTGTGATTTAAGGCCTTTTGGTTATTGAGAAGAAGTTGTTAAAATGGAAAAGTTAATGGTAATATTGGAAGGACTATAGACCTACACCACAGCATAAGCTCAAAGGCAATATAGGCCTGGTGAGTTTAAAAAAAGTCACCTCTATAGGGTCATATGGTCAATAGCTTTATAGGTGAACTTTTAAAATTTTATTCACCATCAAAATTTGCAGAATAAAATAAAAGAAAAGTATTGGAAACATGTAACCACATTACAAATGAAGACAGAGAGATATCGACCCTGTTGATATCATTTTTGCAGTTTAACACTTCGGAAAGTTTGAAAATCTTACCCTTGCATGAAAGTATCCCTGTCTACATTATACACAGGTGATTCTTTTATGCAAACCACTACACTTCAAAGTCTATAGACTTTGACATTAAAATAATTACACATTTTCATTCAAAACATTCATCTTTCATAAATACTTGTAAAGGTTATAAAAAAAAGTCAAATAAAAAGAACAGATGTATATATGACTTCAATTATCTAGCAAATTCAAAGGAGTTTTAGCACCTACACATTGTACACTGTATCCATTTTAAGTGAAATCTTACGTAGGAAATTGGGCAACATCTATACAATATGTAGCTGTACAATACACACTGTTTCAAGGCTACGGAAACATATGTATTAGGGTGTTATACTTACATAAATAGATTCTTTTTACAATTAAAGATGCAAGCTTCAATGAGTAAAAAAATAATTAAATGCAGTCATTTGAGTGAACATAATGTACACCAGTAAAGTATGTGGTAGATGCTTGAATTACTATTCTAATGCAAAAAAAAAATGTTCACCACTTCACTGAAACATCTGATAGAAGAGCAGATTAATTTCTGTGACTGTCATGTTACAGTAGTAAAATCCTAGTCATGAAGTATACAAATGACTTACAATGTGTAAATGTAACCAACCAAAAAATGCTATCAACTGTGAACACTTTCCAGTTGTTCATATAATTTTTAAATATCAGATATTGTACAGTTAGCTAAGAAAACTTTATCCTACATTTCCCCTACAAGGAATGTGTGAAAAAATCTAGGTATAAACACTCAGGCCAACATATAACTTCTGACCAAAAGTCAAGTGGTGGGTTAATTACAGTCACAATAAATAGTATGTTTTCGTTGATTCTGCTTAACAGCAATAGATATGGATGGTCTATTACCAGACATGGACCTACTGCCAGAAAAATGTAATACACACAGACTCTAGAAATTTGCTTCTTGACTAAAGAAATAGAATTAAAACATATTCCATCATTTGTCACTTATCCGGAGTCTACTGAACTGGTGACTACAACATATCATTCATGCATCTATCAAAAATTTTTTAAAATATTCAACATCATCATTAGCTGAACATTTATATTTTTTTTCCAAAGAATTTTAACATATGGAACAAAATGAAATAATTTATCATGGATTGTAAATAGTGCCTGCCCATCATCAGCTGTCTTCATCACTACTCCAAGTATCTGCTGTGGCAAATATACTTTGAGCCACAACCCCAGCTATTCGAGCCACTTGCTCCTTGTCTGCATCATGCTTGTCCTTGAGATAGTCCTCGTAGGCAGTTTCTGTATCAGGTGTCCACACTAGAATGTTCCTGTCACTGCCACCGGAGTACAACTCCTGATAGTGTGGATGAGTTATACAACAGTTGACACACTTGTAATGACCACGTAAAATATCTATCTGGGTGCCCCTGAATATATCAAGCATTTCTATATTTGTACCATTAGGTACAAAGAGTATGTCTGGACTACAGCCCTGTGTGATACCTATATCAATGTTCTTCTTCCAATCGTTATTCACCTTTCCATAGTTGACCATCGTGTTCTTGCCAGAAGCCACATTCCATAGTCGAATACGGTCATCTCTTCCAAAGGTCACCAAGTGAAGGCCATCCGAGGTGAAGGTCATCCCATTCACATGTCCACTGTGAGCAGTGTTAGCTGAAACAATTTCAAGGCTTTATAATTACCCTGCACTATTGGCCAGATTTGTGCCAAATAAATGTATTCTGTAATCTCCTTAACCTTAAGCAAATGATATCCGAGTGGATCAAAGTTAAAATTAAGTTCATATATAAGTTTACAAGCACACACTATCTTACTTCATGAAACAGATCCATTATTCGTGCATGAGTGGTTCTACCAAAACTTCTGTTATTAAACACAAATTCAGCATTACTAGAGTAACCAGACCTGCAATCTTATTGTATGTTATCGATGACCCACAGCGAAATCAACACTCATCATGCACTACAGTTTTCTTAGAGTGAATTCCTTACAGAGAGAAGGTTATACACCAATAAGGTGATGCAATACACAGCCATGATTACCAAACAAAACACTGTTTTATCTGGCTTTTTTTTCTGAAAGGATAGGAGTACAATATACTTGTACTTTAATTACTGAACGTTGCTTATTTAGCAATCATAGCACGTACACCAATTCATCATTAAGCTAATTTTCAAACAAAAGATAATACACTAAATTTTGTTGTACGAAATGAAGTACATCTGTAGTGTACATTGTAATTGTTGATAACAAGAAACTGAATTAGTTTGACAGTAAGGTTAATGTGTTCCGGGACCACACCCCCATAAACTGATCAATTAACCTATTCATTATTTATGTAAGTACAGTGTAATCATTTATTTCTTTTAATGTCAGTTTTTGTTGAGCTCTTGAATTAGTAAATTCAAAATTTTAATAACATAATCTGTGACATCACTATACACATATTGTGACCTGAGAGTGTTGTACACATATTGTGACCTGAGAGTGTTGTACACATATTGTAACCTGAGTGTTGTATACATATTGTAACCCGAGTGTTGTATACATATTGTAACCTGAGTGTTGTATACATATTGTAACCTGAGTGTTGTATACATATTGTAACCTGAGTGTTGTATACATATTGTAACCTGAGTGTTGTATACATATTGTAACCTGAGTGTTGTATACATATTGTAACCTGAGTGTTGTACACATACTGTAACCCGAGTGTTGTACACATATTGTAACCTGAATGTTGTATACATATTGTAACCCGAGTGTTGTATACATATTGTAACCTGATTATGTTGTACACATATTGTGACCTGAGAGTGTTGTACACATATTGTAACCCGAATGTTGTACACATATTGTAACCCGAGTGTTGTACACATATTGTAACCTGATTATGTTGTATACATATTGTGACATACAAAATATATGTAACACTGTCAGACACACAAGACCACACCAATGATCATGAGAAGCAGGATTAATGTGTACCTGTGTAATGGTTATCAGCAGTCTTGCCGTTATACTGATCCAATGATTTAAGAGCTCCTTTCGCACTGCGAATATCCCACATCAGTACTTGGTTATCCTGACTGAGAGAGAGCATAAAAAAAGTTCAGTCTCCTGACGAACATGTGAGTACGGTATAGTTTACATCAATAACTTGCTCCAAATAACAGTCTAGTAAGATTGTAGATATGGTTCAACTTTTACCATACAATTTCTGGTGCAATGATAGTAAGTTTTATATATTTAACAGCTTCCCCCACTAATGCTGATGTGAGTATGACACCCGCATCCATTAGGTACTAAATCTGATGTGAGTATACCTTTGGTAGGAAGTTTTTCATCCTTAACTTCCTCCACCACTAATACTGATATGAGTATAGTAAGTTTTTTATCCTTAACTCCCTCCACCACTAACAATGATGTGAGTATAGTAAGGTTTCATCCTTAACTCCCTCCACCATTAACACTGATATGAGTATAGTAAGTTTTTTATCCTTAACTCCCTCCACCACTAACAATGATGTGAGTATAGTAGGTTTTTTATCCTTAACTCCCTCCACCACTAACACTGATGTGAGTATAATAAGGTTTTATCCTTAACTCCCTCCACCATTAACACTGATATGAGTATAGTAAGTTTTTTATCCTTAACTCCCTCCACCACTAACAATGATGTGAGTATAGTAAGTTTTTTATCCTTCACTCCCTCCACCACTAACACTGATGTAAGTATAGTAAGTTTTTTATCCTTAACTCCCTCCACCACTAACAATGATGTGAGTATAGTAAGTTTTTTATCCTTAACTCCCTCCACCACTAACACTGATGTGAGTATAATAAGGTTTTATCCTTAACTCCCTCCACCATTAACACTGATATGAGTATAGTAAGTTTTTTATCCTTAACTCCCTTCACCACTAACAATGATGTGAGTATAGTAAGTTTTTTATCCTCAACTCCCTCCACCACTAACACTGATGTAAGTATAGTAAGTTTTTTATCCTTAACTCCCTCCACCATTAACACTGATCTGAGTATAGTAAGTTTTTTATCCTTAACTCCCTCCACCACTAACACCGATATGAGTATAGTGTATCTTATATCCTTGTCCTCTCCCTCACTCATACTGTGAGTATAGCACTCATAATTCTGATGCCAGTAAAGTCAAATCTATATCCTGAACTTTTCCCACCTTATTCTGATATGAATGCAATAATATTTCTATCTATAACCCCTCCCCTGCTAATGGCACTAAGTCTGATTATCCTAAACCCCTCCTCCATGTGTTCTTTTGTGAAGCTAGTACAAACACTGTGCAGTGAGCCCACCCTTTATCTTACCTTTTGTGAAGCTAGTACAAACACTGTGCAGTGAGCCAACCCTTTATCTTACCTTTTGTGAAGCTAGTACAAACACTGTGCAGTGAGCCCACCCTTTATCTTACCTTTTGTGAATCTAGTACAAACACTGTGCAGTGAGCCCACCCTTTATCTTACCTTTTGTGAAGCTAGTACAAACACTGTGCAGTGAGCCCATCCTTTATCTTACCTTTTGTGAAGCTAGTACAAACACTGTGCAGTGAGCCCACCCTTTATCTTACCTTTTGTGAAGCTAGTACAAACACTGTGCAGTGAGCCCACCCTTTATATTACCTTTTGTGAAGCTAGTACAAACACTGTGCAGTGAGCCATCCCTTTATATTACCTTTTGTGAATCTAGTACAAACACTGTGCAGTGAGCCCATCCTTTATCTTACCTTTTGTGAATCTAGTACAAACACTGTGCAGTGAGCCCACCCTTTATCTTACCTTTTGTGAAGCTAGTACAAACACTGTGCAGTGAGCCCACCCTTTATCTTACCTTTTGTGAAGCTAGTACAAACACTGTGCAGTGAGCCCACCCTTTATCTTACCTTTTGTGAAGCTAGTACAAACACTGTGCAGTGAGCCCACCCTTTATCTTACCTTTTGTGATGCTAGTACAAACACTGTGCAGTGAGCCCACCCTTTATCTTACCTTTTGTGATGCTAGTACAAACACTGTGCAGTGAGCCACCCTTTATCTTACTTTATGTGAAGCTAATACAAACACTGTAAGTACCACAGCATTTTACATACATCATTTACATACATCACACAAGTAAGAAAAATATAGATCATTGTGTTTTTATCAGCTTGTAGTCATGATGGGTACTTGTTATAGATTTTAATACTTTTACAGGATTTTTTAAAAGTTTGGAGTGTACCTGTAGAAATTGGAGCTTTTATTATGCTTTCATAAATCCTTACCCTCCTGATGCCAGTAAGAATTCATCCCTGGTTGACCATTTTGTGCAGAAGACCGAGCTTTTATGGCCCTTTAGAGTGTGTGTGGCAGACCCCGACTTGAGGTCAACCAACTTGAGAGTAGAGCTCTGGCAGGCCACAGATATCAAACAGTGCTTGGTGGCTACTGGGGACATGGCGTGACAGTAAACGATGCCACTGAACTCAAACTCGTCCGCTGGCTTCAACACAACAAAAAAGTATGTCAATATATATGTGCCATGTAAATGTAATATTCATAAACGTTGGTGATACATGTATAAAATATATGATAAAATCACAGCATATGGTATCTACAAAAATATTCAATTTTGAATTCCATCACTGTAGTATTTAGTCAAAGACTTCAAACACTGTCATTAAATTAGATAGTGGATATTTTCAGCAAGAAGAAAAAAACATGTAAATGCATCTAATTATGATAAGAAGTGCTTGTCTCAGAGACAACTATCTTAATTTCACTTGTGGTAGCAATAAGTCACACAGTTGAAGGGAAATAACTTGTGCAATCTTGACACCATTCCCAAAGCAATCTTCACCTTCTGTAAAATGTAAAATGAGGTCATCTGCTGTGCTTCTGTGTAAACTAATCTGCTGAATAGCCAAAATAGTGGACTTAAAATCTGTTAGATAAATAAATGCTGTGCCTTTAACTTGAAGGTAACAGTTTAACCACATATATTGATTGAGAATATATTAACGTTGAAGTGGCAGATATAATTATACATCAATGTACATTATATATATCTTAATATCAACATACCACAAGAGTATTTGTGTCCCAGACTTTTAAGAGTTTGTCAGTTCCACTTGAGATGAACATTCCTGTGTCCAACGGGTACCAAATCACTGTTTCCACTGTACGCTTGTGGCGATAACGACTACCTCGACCAGCAAAGCACACAGATTTTGAAGTATACTTCACATCACCGGTGAAATTTTCAAGATCATGGACTGCAACAGACCCATCAGAACTTCCCGATAGCAAACTAAAACAAAAAATGTATTTAAGTGTAAACATGAAAGTGAAAGTTTGGTATCTTGGACAGTACATTGTACATAAAGATGAACTCCTTTTCATGTGTCTCTCAGAAAATTCATGTATGTAACAGAGGTCATTAATTATTTCAAAACCTCTTCTGGTATTCAAACCTTGGAACTCATCAAATATATCTTTTATACTGTATCTTTGGTATTGAATTTAAGTATTTGATGAACAGGTGTGTCAATTGATGAACAACAAATGTGTCAATCGACGTCTCACCTGTGTAACACCTATCAGTAACCCAGATTTCCTATGTTCAAAACAAGAAAAATTAATCCCTTTTTGCTATAAAAAAAACATTTGATATAATAGTTTGGGCCAAAATGACTCAGCTGGCTGTCAACAGACAGTAAAACAATAGCCAAACCAAATAAAATCTATGTCCTAAACATAAGACATAATTGAACAGACACCTGGTATAGGGGCCACAGATTTTTCTACATCCTGTCAAAATCAAGATCTGGTTGAACTGAGTTTCCTCTCCCTTCTACATCACATATTGCCAAACCAATGTCTGGCATGGACATGGATATCTTTCAAAATGTCCAATGTTTGGTAAAGGGTCATGCAGTACATTTATTGGCAGAATTGGGGTGGAACCTCTACAGCATCATGTGAACTTTTGACTTGTGTGGCCTTCATTACACCCAAATGATACTGGTTGCTGTAATGTTTCTATATACATTCTCTCTGATATGATGAAACTACTCATATGGTTGATGTTGTTTTTGCTTAACAAGTTTATGGTTTTCATTTTCAGTCTATAGACTATATACATATGAATATATATTTGATATCTCCGAGATGATTATTGTGTATAAATCTTGTTGAAATATGTATTAGCTTACAGTGTGCATTTCTGAAAGTCTTAGAGTAACAAAAAATATATAGTCACGATTGAAGGTAGATTTTCTCATATTATTGATCATTAGGCATCGAAAAGCCAAACCAATGTCTGGCATGGACATGGATATCTTTCAAAATGTCCAATGTTTGGTAAAGGGTCATGCAGTACATTTATTGGCAGAATTGGGGTGGAACCTCTACAGCATCATGTGAACTTTTGACTTGTGTGGCCTTCATTACACCCAAATGATACTGGTTGCTGTAATGTTTCTATATACATTCTCTCTGATATGATGAAACTACTCATATGGTTGATGTTGTTTTTGCTTAACAAGTTTATGGTTTTCATTTTCAGTCTATAGACTATATACATATGAATATATATTTGATATCTCCGAGATGATTATTGTGTATAAATCTTGTTGAAATATGTATTAGCTTACAGTGTGCATTTCTGAAAGTCTTAGAGTAACAAAAAATATATAGTCACGATTGAAGGTAGATTTTCTCATATTATTGATCATTAGGCATCGAAAAGCCAAAATCCCGGAATTTTCTATCCAAATTAGCGTTGACTGTTCAGTCATTTGCTATCGAGAAAAGCAACAAGAAGAAGTAAATTGTAACAAAACGTGAAAGTATACTCGATACAAGAAAGCAGATATCACATCCTTATTTATTGGTTGTCGATTCCCTGATGCGAAAAACCAGTAAGTAACAAAAATTCAGACAATTTAAGATTAGGAGCGAAAATGTTCAGACTGGTAGAGACCTCTAAGTCAACTCATGGACTCTGGCCATGTCAACTTACTATCTCGACTCCACGGGATCGATGTCTATAGAGTTGATACATCCTAAGTGAACAACCTCGAAATCACGGCGTTTGCTCAAATCCAGAGCGTACGACCGGCGAGTGGTTTCGGCTCTCCTCATGACCAATGGATCGTCCAATCCCGTCTGTCTGTCCGCCAGGAACTTCAGCATGGTTGGACGTTTCAATTCCCAACGCTTTTAAGTACATTTTTTGTCCATGACGCTTGTCAATAGGTATTGCATGTTTTGCTGACAAACCAAAACAACCTCATGATGTCAACATTGGAAATCTTTTGTTAAGTGAGGTATAAAGAGTATCGTTACTGTATTAGTTTCGTAAAAAAAGAAAAGAGAAAGTTGATGGTAGACATATAACTAATTACCATGTGAATCAATGAAATTGAAGGGGGAAACTAAGATTGAGAATCCATAAATAACGCGAGACTGATATAAAATAATTCGGTAGAATCGATTTGAAACTAAATTGAAGCAGTTGTCTCCCTTTGATCAACGTTTACTAACTAATAGTTAAACGACAGCCTTAAACAATTTAGTCCTTTACTTCCGAACTTTGATGTCTAAGTCCATTTTATTCTGTAATCTATGAAATTTGTGAAGCGCATTGTTAATGGAGGAAAGAGATAAATGTTTGGAAAAATAACTTGTAAAAAGTTTTTAAAAAACCACAAAAAAACGAGTCTGAAAAAGTTTTCAAAGTCGCGAAAAACATCGATTGAGGCAATACAATTTTTATCAAATTATCAGTACAAATCAGCATAGTCGGAAGGGTTCTTAGAAAAGCTATATTCCCTGTTTTATATGTGTCTTGCTCGCAGTCTACGACAAAGACGTGAACAGAACCCTTCGAACTTCTTTAAATCATATTGAGGGTGGCGTTAAATTAAGTTTTGGTCTTAGTCAATAGACATCATGTCGTGAAATAATTGTCCTTAGCGTGAGTTATCGCCCCTGTTCTAAATCATGTGACCTAATAGAAAAAAGAAGATGGAGTTACTGGCGGGGTTGCGACGAGATCCTAAAATTTGCACAAAAGACGGCCGACAGGTCAGTAATTACAAGTAAGTTTCGTTTTTATTGTAATCAATGATGTTATTATTTAACAGTTTATCCCTCCCACTAGACTCGGTTGTTAATTCAGCTCCATTCGATTGAAAGTTTACCTTTTTATTCCGATTGATGCAGTGACTGCCAGTTACATACCCCAGGAAATACTGCCCGGCCTGAGGGAGAGGTTTCCCGTAATAGGTATTGTTTGCGGAACGTCTCTTCTGTGGGACTACTGAGTCCTGACAATGAAAGATTACCTCAAGCCGACACCACCACCCCAATGGCCACCCCTAAAAATATATTGAAAATCCTACCTTTACCTGGGTCCAGGGATCTGACATGGGGATCCACGCCCATGTCGCAGTAATTATATATAATACATCTTGTAGAGCACTTTAGACCTAGCCTCGCCTTTCAATACACACATATCTATATGTGGTCGACGCTGGGGTTAGATATTCATTTTTAATTATAATTCATAATAGGCCTACATGTTACATGCCACGGTGTGGGCTAGGGTGTGTGTGTGGAGGGGGATATATATTAAGTATTAGATCTTTCAGATCAGTAGATAATTAAAAGTTAATAAGTAGTTAACTTCGCTTGATAACAAGCATCAGATCTTGACAGATGTTTAAGTTTTAACTCCATGGAAAATTCAACGTGTTAGGTAAATAGTACTGTAGTGAAACTGGACTGGGCAGATCAATTGTGACCAGTTAGCTCAATAAGTTGAGCATCGCTTTGTAGTTTGGAAGGTCCTGGGTTTGAGCCAGCGGGTCTGGCGGCCCATTTTTTCTGTTCCTGTGTTACAGAACAATACCCCATCCTTTAATATTATAAGATAGCTATTGTTTTAACATGTGTATTCATGTAAGTGATTAAAATAAAGGTGTTACTGATTTCATTTTTTTCCCTTAAGTGAACTTGGTAAAGGTGAGAAGGCAACAAGTTCAAGATCTGGAACATCTGGAATAAAGACAAAGTCAAGCGATATCTACTATCCAGTGACGATATTACAGCAAAATGACCAACGAAGTAGAGTCCACTATATAGGTAATCATAATGACATAAATCTGAAACAATTTTGAACTAGTGCTCTAGTAACAGAGTAAAAGTGTCCTTCCAGGTGTATATTTGTTATCAGAAAAATAATTTATATAAATATATTTATAAATCAGGATTTGATTATTTCTGTATATTGTCCAGTGGTAGTCTCTCTTATAGTACTTGATTTTGATTGTTTTAAATGATTGCTGCTGATATAAACACTTGCACCCGGTATTGATCTATCTCATGTGAGGGGTCAGATACAAAATGTGACTGATATTAATTCTTCTTTTTGTAGGATACTCCCACAAATTTGATGAGTGGTTAGAGTGGGATGCAATTAAGGAGAGCAGAAGTACATGTATGATAAACAGCTTTCTGCTACAGCAGCTGCAGGTACATCTACTGAGGGAGAAGCTATTTTAATGTAATATATAAAAGTGTCTAATTGAGTTGAAAGTGTACCAAATTATAGGTTACTGTGACCTACGTTTTGACCTTTAACCTACATAAAAAGGCTTGTCCTGGCTATATCTCCTATATATTATAGTAAGTGTCACTGGAACTTCATACTTGTCTTCGGTTATGAGTTCACCTTGCCAAGCTCGTGCGTCATCTGTCAGAAGTAGGTCACTGTGAGCTCCTTTTGATGTTTGACCTACATTAAACAAATTCATTATATGCATATAAATTCATGCTCGTTGGAGGACTGTAATTTGTCAATTTTCTTTTTATTATTATTTGATTTTTACAATACTTAAAATTTGGAGAATATTATGGAGAGTCTTACACGGTGATTCTGAATAACCTTTGGTACATGGTACTTTTTCTTTTGAATCACAAATAGATAAATATTTCTTTTTTCCCCATTCACAGATCCAAATTAAAGACCAGCTGTGCTCATGTGGAAAGAAAGACACCCATAAAGTTATAAGGATCCCTATCAACGAGCAAAGTCTAGAGGATGTTGGGATGTTAATATCAAAGGCAGTATTACACAAAGTGACCCATGGAAAGCGTGTTTACTGCATCAGAAATAGACATGCTTTGGAAAAGTTCCTTGGGGTTAGTTGGGACTTCAGGATTATAAATCAGCAAGGTGACAATTTCTTTGTCATTACAGACACAGTGAGGTTTTGGGTCCATGAAAGAAAGCCGATGAAAGAATACATTTTGTATCCAGATTATGCAGAGGAAACCTACTTAAACAGAGGAATGACATTCTGTTTTGCTTTTGTTGTGAGCCCTGGAAACAAAGTTTTGTGGCCAGACTTGTTAAATGCTGATAAGTTATAGACATACCAGTCATTCTCTAGAGGTTTTTTTTTAGTTCAGACTTTTAATTTGGAGTTACAATAAGGATTAAATCCTTCACCATATACAAAAGATATGCTTATTCCAAAGAAAGTTCTTTTTAAAGTATTGAAAATTGGAGAATTTTGGGGAAAATCTTTAGGAAAATGTATGGAAAGATATCAGGAAATGTTGGAAGATGAAATGAATATTTCATTTATAGCAAATAACAAGCAAAGACATCTTTTGAAAGTTGAACTTGATAGATTAAGGAACACAAGTATTCAGAAACACAAGAAGGGTGGAAGGCAGCACCAAGAGTTCATTAAGAAATTGGAAAATGCAATGTACCATTGGAATGTTGGGTTAGATAGACATAAAATACAAGCAAAATTGGAACAAAAAACAATTGAGAATGATAAAATTTTGTTAGAGAAAAGTAAGCTTGAAAACACAATTTCATATTTATCCACAGAAAATGAGAAGCTTATTGAAAAATTGAAAAAGCAGTCAGAGTCTGAAAAGAGCAATTTAACATCAACTCCAAGAGTAGGTTTGAAGAGAAAATTAAGCGATTGTACACCATCATACAAAAGTAAAGTTAGAAAATTTGAATCCCAAAAGTGTAAAACCTCTCTGTCATTTCTCAAAGAGTTTAATTGCCAACCCATATCTGTGAATGTAATGCGGGACAACGGTAGACCTAATGTCATAACACTAGTAGATTCTGACAAATCAGTAAAAGATGACACTACCTCTTTATCTGTTGATGAGATTGAGGAACTAAACATGCTCATATATGTTCTTGATTCTTTTAACATTTCAGGAAATGCTTATCATGAAATAAGCATGTTGTACCATTCCCTACCTCGTAGTTATAAGCTTTCCCAGTATATATTGCATCTAAACTCTGGGTTTGATATAAGAGATACACCAGATGGGTCAGGTGTACAACAGTCTCTGAAGGTCAGACTTGAAGCCGTTATCAGTGACATTGTTTCAGACAATCCTGAATTTGCCCCTGAAAATGTGCTGAAAATAAAAATATCTGGAGATGGAACTCGCGTTGGAAAACATATGAACTTTGTCAATTTCACATTTACTGTGATGAATGATTCGAAGTGTGTATCAGTTCAAGGAAATTATCCCTTGGCAATAGTAAAAACTAAAGAGGCATATGATGAGCTAAGACATGCATTGACAGATCTGAGAAATGAGGTCAGAGATCTTCAAGGTTTAAAGCTGGATATTGGAGAAAGATCTTTTCATGTGAAAATATATCTTGGAGGAGATTATAAATTTCTTTTAATGGCATTGGGAATGTCTTCCATCCAAGCCAACTACAATTGTATTTACTGCAATTGTTCAAGAAATGAGCGCTGTGATTTGAGCAAATGTTGGTCTTTAACTGACAAGGAAAAGGGTGCTAGGGTAGAATATACATGTCAATTTGTATCTCGAGGAAAGCAGCATAAAAGGTCACAGGTCAAACCACGGCAATCATTTTCAGTTGTCAATCCCCTGCTTTTCCCAGAAATACCTCTTTGTGATGTTGTTGTTGACATACTTCATCTTTTTTTGAGAATTATGGATAAGCTTTTGGCATTGCTGATCACCGAGTTAAGAACTGTAGACAATATTTCATCCCAAAGAAGTTTAAGCGCAGGTGTACTTGATAAAACAAAGTTGAAATGCATACCACAATTTGAAAATGTACTACAAAATATCGGAGTTAAGTTTGTGTTTTTTATCAATAAAAACAAAGAGTTTGAGTATACAGATTTACAGGGTCCAGATAAAGAAATTGTCTTAGGCAAGTTACAAATCAAAGACCTTGGATTGAGTGAAGAAAGATCTTCTCAGATTCAGGAGGTTTGGAATCAATTCAGTGTTATTAACACCATGCTCAAGTCTAGGTGTGATGTGAATGAACTTGTAGAAAAAGTTGATGCTTGGTGTTCTTTGTGTTGGCTTACCAGTGCAGGGACATTACACCATACATTCACTTACTCAGGTACCACGTCCCAGAGCTCATAGAGATGCATGGAGGAATATCACAGTTTACCCAGCAGGGTTTAGAGAAAGCCAATGATGTTGTCACAAAACAATATTTCCGTAGTTCAAACCATAAAGGTAATGCAGCATTGAAACAAATAATGGAAAAGCAAAACAGAATCTTTGAACTAGAAAAACACAAAAGACTGAAAGTTAAATCCTATACATGTAGCATATGTGGTTCTGCACATAGGAAAACTAAATGCCCTAACAAAGAGAATGTTTTGCAGTAATGAGTACATTCATTCTGAAATGAACTATAATATGAGAGCCTGATTTCATTCATCAAAAATTTAGATTCTATTGTATAAGAGACATTTAATGTTCAATTCAATTTGTTGTGACTATTTAGAAAAAAAACTGCAGGAGTTTGGATACAAATACAAGTCATTCTTTGGATGATCGTCGGTTCTTCATTTATTTGTTTTCTTTATTGTATTACTGTAAAAAAAACTTTCCAACATTTACCTTAAATATCAAAAGTTTCTTTCAAATTGATTAATTTTGAATTAATAAGTTTTTTTCTAACCATGGTACCAATATAACTTCTAGAGCATGTGTTAAGCTCATCTGTTGCGAATCAGTTGAATTAATGAATTTGATTGATTCATGCCATGTATACAAATGTGCATGTATATGTATTTCAATACGATTGCTATTACACATATACAAAACTACCGTTAATTCCCTATTTACTATATATGCAGTGACAAGAAACCAAAAAGTGTGATCATTTTTTTTATATAAATTGCTCATGTAAATTTCATTTAATCATTGTCAAGGCAGACATGTATTTTTATGTTTGTTAAATAAAATATATAAATATTTGAGCGAAGTTTGTTACTTTATCATCTCGTTTTGTTAGCTACATTGTATAACCAAGAGGAATTCTGTATGCTTGTGACCCTACATTATAAGGTAGAATCTTGAGGCATTCCGAATTGATTATAACTCAGAAAAAATTGGGCTTAATTTATGTCGACACCGGCAGTATTGGGCATCGCAATGAATATTAAAAAGACGGTATTTATTTTCATTGGCCATAGGAAAAAGCATTGCCGACAGCTTTGCATATAATTAACCTTATTTCCCACCAATGTTCAAGCTGATTGGTCGACCAACCAAAGCAATGCCCATAGATTCCTGGAGTTGTTCATAAAAGTTGCTACAAAATGGCGCTTGGATTCTGCCTGAATATGATGGAAAATGTTCATTTGACGAATGATTCTCGTCATTAAGCACGTCAATAGTAATATCTTAACCATCAGTGCAACATGATTAAGAAATTAACAAATGTTCAAACTTGTACAACATGGATCCATTCGGCAATATACACGAAATTGTGAAAATGTAAGTCCGCGGTCGATTAACTCGTACGTTGACAAAGGACAAGGGACATCACTCTAATTTTTGAAATTTAGTACAAATATTTCACAGTATGTTGCTAATAATAGCATCTAGTTGCAGCGGGGTACGTCCAATTATTATGATATTACAAAGAGTTTTTAGCTGCCTGCATGTGACTCCAACAACCCCTTACTTCGACAAGGAGGCCTTTACGCAAAGTCCCAGCGTCTCCTAGTTCCTGTGTGCGGATGTATGGCGTAATGTACTGGGGGCGATCGCGCGATCTGTGCCTGACACAACGATCGTACAGTTGTATGTATAAGTTCTCATTTTCTTCCTTGTGATCTCATGTGCAGATCCTTCCGTATTTCTCAGTCAACTATTTCAGTCATATGTGGGCGATACAAATATATTTGATATTTTTAAGTGCGCTGTGCATAACCAGTTTTTGATGTTATTCCTTAAATATCCCCTACATTTTATCTTCCAATCACATGACAATACAGTTTACACGTTGTTCCGAGGCTCATGCAACAAGTTTAGTACTTTCTGTTTGATTTGTTTTTTATCATAAAATATAGACACTCTCCACGTTGAGTTCCGTAAACGTCTGGTTAACAACTTTTTCGTCTCTGAGGAATTTTTGGTGGCGTTGTGGGTCAAAAGGATTGACACCAATAAGGACAATCTATTACATCAAAATCTATCTGAACGAATATTAAAATACTCAGTAATATAAAAGCTGATGATATTTCTTAGCATTTTTCTTCGAATTGGTAACGTCCATAGAATTGATGTTATTATAACACAACCTAGAAAATTTGAATGTGACGTTTCGATGACTACATGGTCACCTTCACGTGACAAGTGACCAATGTGGAACGTACTAGAACTAACGAATTGACGATCTGATGAAGGTGACCATTCAGTCATAGAAAACGGTTGCACTACAAAATCTTCTACTGGTTGTGTTACAAGAAATTAAATTTGTTAGAATGTGAGCTCACTGTCCAACAATCTAAATCACACAAAATTCATGGAATTTCAAATTTCAAGACAAGTTTAATACTATACCAAACTAGATTCCATTGCATAAATGGTTGATCTTGTTCTATGAGTCTTCAATGATTCTAGGGAACGAATCACGCACATACCCGGGTATTAAGGAAAATAAGAATTGATCGAAAATACTCTTTATATCGTAAAGGGAATATACTTAATCTCTTGATTGTTGTTGATAATGTTGCACATTTCACTATTACAGCAAATATCAAATGAAAACTATGAAAGAAATTTCAGTGATATTTCTCATTTGAATTTTGACGTTTTCGTATAAATGTAATATTACATCTATACTATATTACATTTAGGGTGAAAGCAGAGGATGAAACCGCGAGTATTCCTCTGAACTTAGGTTGTTCATGGTTGGGTTGTAGAGACTACAAAACGAACCATTACATAATATAACATTTAGACCTGTATTACGTGAATACAATGTGTCAACAGTAACACAATGATATGTGCTAGACACGTGTTTCGTGTGTTAGGAATTAGCAAACTCCTTGAGTTGAATGAATCAATGAGTATAAAGAGGGTTTCTGTTTTACATCAACAATGGATTATTAGACATGAGAGACTCGTGCTGTTTTAGGTCATCAATGAATTAATAGACCAATAATATTGTATCATTAAAATGATAGCCGTTTGCTGTTAGGGTCATCAATGGATTGCCAGATGTTTGCTGTTTGAGACCATCAGTTGATTGCGAGGCGTGTGTTGTTGAGGTAAACGTTTGTAACTTTCCAGATATGTGTTCAACGTGGATCGCTTCATCGATCGATCATTTCAGCTTGCAAAATCTTTATTCACCCTCCCTCTCTTAAATACTCGAGGTTGTTTGTTACATTTGGCAATAATATGTAATAACAGTCGCTGACAAAACCGTGAACTGGCACATCTGCTCCCTAAGCTGTGTATCAATACATTCTACTCGTGTGTAATTTCCACTACTAACACTTCTAATGGATTTCTATATTGTGGTCGTTATACCAAGTATATATAACAGTCTATTATATACAAACGTTTAAGTGATGTACATGTCGATGTTAAATCACATTCGTCTATACGCCATAATGAGGGTGGTGTAATCCCTCGTCTGGAGAGCACTGTGTTAGCGACAATGGCTTATAAACGTACTTGTGCTTTGGAGTCAAGGTCATTGTGTTGTCGACAATGGCTTACGTATTGGCACGCTAGAGTCAAGGTCAGTCATTACAGCTCTCAGCTCTGATCAGTGAAAAACAGGAGGCACAATAGGGAGTATATTATCGGAATCAATTATTTGTATATTATTTACAGTTTGGTGATATAAAATTCTGTTAAAGTAAAGAGTATTGAAAAACACCCTGCCTCAGTCAGGGTTTGAACTAGCAACCCTACGGTCTCTAGCAGGACATTCTACCGATAGACTAAAGGGGAAATCCCACTAGCTGTGGCTAGTTAGGCGACCTGTACTAGCTGCTTTTATAATTCAATTCAATTCGTTACATTATTTCCAACTCAATGCCAAAAGTAAACAAAAAAACAAAATGGCGTTCTTTAAACGATGGCGCTAGAGACATGCAATAGATACTTGTTTCTATCTAACATTTACCCGCATGTTATATGTGACTAGGTTAATTAAAACCATGCAAGAATGTAGCATGTGTTTCTAGGAAAAACTGTCTTTTAAATTCGCTTAATCTTTCATGGAGGGCTATAAATATTCCACGTAGTCAGAAAATCGATCGTTTAGAAGGCAGGAAAAGGTAACTTGAAATGTGTCACCAGTCTGTTTCACCCACCGTGAGAATTGTTGGCGCGCTGTTCCTCTGTATTATATAACAGCCAGTACAAGTAGATAGGCTTTAGGAATTTGTTTTATTTACCGATACTCTGGGGGATAACTGGATAAGTTATCTTCAAACCTTGTTGATCTACAAATCCCCTCGGCCGTTTTTCCCTATACAGCGAGACAAAGCTCAAAGACAATAGATTGCTTTGTAGAACCAACGAGATGTGAACATGTACATATGTAATTTTTTGTTGCCCGCCTGTCTTTGTTTACAAACAGGAAATAGGTTCATGTTACTTTTGAAAGGTTACTCCTAATTACTCCACATGTAAACGTTTTATTTTAATTTCCGATTAATTGATTAGGATAATGCGTTTGGCTAATGAAACCGCACTCTAACGTAAAATGGTTGTATTTCGTCTGTTGTAAGATGGTGTCCCTCATCTCGTCTGCCGAGAGTGTTTGAAATCAATGCGTTTGTGCTTTTCCGTCGAATAAGGTTCAGCTTTAGTCAGTGGTGTAGCAATGATATATGTTTGTATGCTTAAGCATACGCCCAAAAAAGCGAACAAAAATATTACAGCATTTTGTCATTTTTGTTGAATAAGATGTGTAGGTGTAAATAGAAAAGATATTTCTGATTAACTAAAATCCGACAGCTTCAGGGGGGCTTCATCCCCAATCTTACCAGGGCTTCACCCCTGGGCCCTCTTTTGAAAGCATACACTCCTAAATAAACATTCGCTACGCCGCTGCCAGTGTTTCATTAAAAAAAATAGGTAGTTCTCATGCCAGTGAACAA